CTGGTAGTTTCGAACCGCTGACCTTAAGGTTCGCAGCCCGATTCGTAACCACTACGCTACCAGTATGTATACATGAGAATATTCATAAGCACTGGACTGCTGACCATTGTAGCTTGTTGTGCCTGTGCTGAGATTGTCCTAGTCCCTCCTTACAGGAGTGAGTACAATGATTGGTAGATTCCTGTATGTGGACATAACGCACCAATATGATTCTTAGTAAAGAACATGATGCTTGTTGTTGGTTTTCTTTAGAATTAAATTAGAATTTAGAAACCCATCTCCTGTTTCTATTTTCCTGTAGCTGGTGCGCCGCCACGTTTTTTACCCATTCCCCTCGGTCTCTTTGCCCAATTGTTCCCTTCACCTGGAGCGTCTTTTCTCAGAGAACTCACCTATTATCTCCCTATCTCAGAAAATCCTTCCTCCTCAGGGAAACTCCATGTGCTCGGCTACTATTTTTCTTAAGGTACTTGGCTCATTTCCACCTAAATTATAGCAATATATTTAATTATTTAACTTGTTAAATATCTTTTTCCCATTTTTGAAAAGGATAAGAAAAACAAGTGTCACTGTAATTTAAAAAGAAGCGAATTATTACAGTAAACCTAGGTTATAAGCAGTTCCTGCAATTGAACAACAAATTTAGCTTTGTGCTTTTTTTGACAGACAAGCAAGCCAGGGGTGGGGAGATAGTAAGATTCATAATTGTAGAGATTTTTAAAAAGTACTTGTTTATTACCCCAATAGACTCTCTAGCACTTGGTCCAATGCCTTGTGCAAAATAAAGATTCAATAATGTGCTAGACTGCAAGGTCAGTTTGAACCTCAAGGTTGGTGGTTCAAACTCACCAGCTGCTCCTTGGAAACCCTACACAGGGTGGCTATGAGTCGGTGAGTAGGAACTGACTCGATGTCACTTAGCAATAACCATATTAAACAAAACTACTAGTTGAATTTACTCGTTTAATATCAGCACATATTTTTGAAGAGTTCATGAAATCCAAATTGAGATAAAAGCATATAATAGCAAATAGCAAGTCTTGATCTTCCAGAGTTTATAGTATAAGGAAGATTTTTTTTAGAAAGTTATTTGTTTGTTTTTTAATTCTAAGTTGTGGGTAGGTAGGAGTCTTGGTATAGCGCTATAAGATAAGCACTGTACCACAAGGTCGGTTTGAACCTCAAGGTTAGCAAGGTCACTATGAGTTGAAACTGATTCAATGGCACTTAACAACAACTAGGTAGGCAGGTAAGTAGATAAGTAGATAGATAAATGAAACTTTTACAATTAGAAACTATATTCAGGAAAAACAAAAGAAAAATATAAGATAAATAATGTTCCAATGACTTTAATATTGCCATGTTGTTCATCTCTTGGCTCAAAGAACTTTCTTTCTTTCTTTTTTTCTAACATTTTTTAATATACTTTTTATTGTGAATTGAGTGAAGGTTTATAGATCAGATCATCAGTTTTATAATCAACAAATCATATACTTTGCTTCATTATATGGTTGCAATCCCCTCCAAGAACCAACAGTTAACAGCATTTACTTCTATTCACTCCAACCACTGCACTCCTCCCTGTGTCT